ATCAATTTAGAAATACTTCATAATCTTTTTGTTTTGATTTGCTTAGATATGTTTCTTTGTGTTTGAATAATGCTCCAATGTTTTCTATGACAAGGTAAGTTCTGAGCTAATTTTCTCTTATGATTACTTGTTTATTGTTTTGTGAGCTTTTGGAGTAGTTTGCTATCTTTACAATAAATTGGCTTAGATGAATCTTTTTATGGATGATTCTCTGCATCTTGTCCTGAAAATGATATTTTTAATGGTTCCCTTTATGATTAGAGCCTTTTTTATGGTTGCAAAGTTCACCCCCTTCATTTTGGATCATCAAATTTTTTGTCTTAGGTTGAGTATTAGTTTTTGAAATTTCTTTTGGGAGTTGTTTCTTGTTGGAACATGTCTTTCATGTTAGTTTTGTCATGATTGTGTGATCTTTTCTTAGTTTTGTCATTTTGAGAGTTATATTTTTTTCTTTGTGCTGAGTTGTATATTTCATTGGAAGTTTTGGTGATCTTTTCATTTTGTACCTAATTTTCTATTTAATAAAGTTAAGTGTGACCCTTATTTTTCAAAAAAAAAAAAAACAAAAGGGAGTGATATGCCATAACCGATTCCAAATCCACGCACATAAAACATGTGAAATCAAGACCCTTATTTTTCAAAAAAAAAAAAAAAAGGGAGTGATATGCCATAATCAATTCCAAATCCACGCATAAAACATGTGAAATCAAGCAATTATATTAGGCACATAAATATACTAGAGATCTACATTATTGATGTTTACAAAATTATTAATTGTCAAACTAAAATTTATTCTTATCAAAATACATTGACTCAATCATAGATCATGCAATAGGCACTTAAATTTATAGGGTAATATTTACAAATCTTATAAATCTTGCTCGAATTTGAAGAATATTGGTTTGAAAAAATAATAAAATATCCCAAAAAAAAATTAAAGTTGAGTGCTCAACCTTTAAAAAAATAAAAGAAAAATTCGAGATTCATTGAAGCTAACAAATTATATTTTGTATGAAAACAAGGAGATAATCATCCTAATTGTACTGGTGTTAATGTGCATGTGCAAATTCATTTGGTAAGTTCAGACCAAGGTCTACTTGTGATTTTATATGCGTGCCAGATTCAACGTGTAAGACAAGTGCCACGGATTAAAAACACACAACTTCTTGTCTTCTAACACCGAACCACAAAACCCCTCCCCATTCTTGGATCCGTCCGCCATTAGTCCTTTTCTCCTTTCTTCCTCCCTACTCCACTTCCTCGCTCCTCAGTTACCGAACCCTTGAACGGAGGTATTCCCTTCGGCGTGCCTAGGATTGGAGGTCGGGGTTTCTGCAGATCTTGAAGATGTTTCTCACAAGGTGAACTCTCTTCGATTCTATCTTTCATCTCCTTCAAAATTTGTTTCTGGAGTTGAGCTTTTTCATGATCTATGGGTTTGTTTCAAGGACTGAGTATGATCGAGGGGTCAACACCTTCTCGCCTGAAGGGAGGCTGTTTCAGGTTGAGTACGCCATAGAGGCTATAAAGGTAGGATCTTTTTTTCTCTAGAAGTCTTATTATCACGAATTTGTCTCGGAAGGATATTGTTTTTGAATATTGTTGCATGGTACATATTTCAGCTTGGTTCGACAGCAATTGGAATAAAGACAAAGGAAGGGGTCGTGCTTGCGGTTGAGAAGCGCGTGACTTCACCTCTACTGGTATCCGTTTCTGGATCAATGTTGTTTATCATTGGATATTTCTGTAACTTTATAGCTCTCGGCTGAATTTCGCTGATTTATATGTTGATTTACAGATGGGTTGAGGTATGTGTAGGATTTGCTAGAATATGTTAACGCCTTAAAGAACACTTAACATGTAAGATTGAAAGTGAGGATTCATAATGTCGACTGCAAATAGTTAGGATAAGGGTGGTGATGGTGATGATGATGACAACGATGAGTTACTTTCATGATAATTGGATTGGTTCAATTAGAATTTGGCCTCGATCATAATGTGGAATATGGTGATCCATGTTAGTTAAAGTATGATGATATTGCTTTATGTTTTTAAATAGGATAAATTCTTTCATATATAGGTCATTGATGTATATAATTAATGTGATGTTAAAAATTGCATATGATTTGATGATGGGCCAGTAGGCCTTGATGATGATCTTAAAAGCTTTGTCTTCTTTCTTCTATTTGAAATTTTCTTTAGATTGAATTCTGACCTTAGAAAGTTTGGAATAGAGGAAGAGAGTTTTGTTCTTGTAGTGCAAGCGTTCAAATCTTTTCATTTGTTCTTAGGTTGTGGTTAATGTCGATAGCTCTAAGCCTTTAGCCTTACTCCTCCACCATAATTTCAATTTTCTCTTATGTTTTGGGATTTTGTATTATTTTCTTATCAAAATAGAGCTTATTATATTGATAAGCTTAGTTTGTTATTAGCAATATTCATTTTTATTTTGTTATTGACCGTGATGGCTAATGCAAATGGTACTTTATATTTCTTTTCTATTAATAAATTTGTATTTATTATTTTGAAACTATTAAGCTTCTTATGTAAATTGTATGATATTATACTTCATCATGTGATGCATTTAGTGGAAAATTCTAGGATAAGGTATTTTTAATTATACAATTTATATTAATAATTTTTAAAAGAGAATTATGTGGTGTATCATATTTTTTATTGCTTTATGTTATTTTACTTTTTATTCATTGATGATGCAAATAGACTTTTAGTGGGAGAATGTTAGAAATGTTAAGAGGAAATGATTACAAGTGTCATGCATCCAAAAGTTAATGGTGCTTGATTAAGTCATGCACTTGTTTTCAACCAAGTTGAATGATTGAGCCAACACAATTGCGTATCTCGTGTGTTTGGACCATGCATTATGAAGTCGAGTTGTGCCTTCGCCATTAATTCGGGCTCATATATTGTGGAATAGTTTGTTGTGCAAAGTGCTCCTATGTCAAATTGGTATTAGAGCACGAATCATGGGTCAAATCCTTGGTTGCTAACTTGAGGATCCAAAAGAGGAGAATGATAGAGGATTGTTGAGAGGACAATGATAGCAATTGTCATGTCTCCACAAGTCCATCAGATAGTTGAGTTATGGATCTGCATTGAGTATGACCGATTTTTTGTGTTGTAGGGCACTTGTGGATAGCATGACGGAATAATTAACCATAAAGCCTTAGTCGCGCTTTTGACATTAATTTAGTCTTTTGAGGAAGTTGTTTGCCCAAATTGGTCCTATATTAATTTGGTATTAGTTTGAATCTTTTGTGGTACAACTGGCCATTGAAGGGGGGATACTGGCAGAGGACAATCAAATTAACAAGATAACAAATGTAATGTTTCTTGTAAGTCTATAAAGGGCATTTGGTTATGGTGGATAATTGAGTTATGCGTGTTGGACGCACTTTTGGCTATAAAACATTAGTGTTACTTCTTCATTAGTTTAGGATTTTAAAGTAGTTTGTTGAACTAATTGATCCTAAATCATTTATCTTTATTTATAATAGCAAAACCTAATATTTATTGTATTGTCATAGAAAATCGGAGCCACTGCACATTATTAGAACTATCACATTCTTAGGCAAATTTTGCCAAAGTTAACTTCAGTAATGTAGGAATTTGCGTTGTCATGACTAGGTATATTTTGGCACACTACTTATATGTTTATGCCATCCAAGAGGGGAGAGTGAAAAAGGCATTTCAAAATGATAAGATAAGAATTATAAATTTTTTCTCAAGTCTATAATGTATGATTTAGTAATGTATATATTTGACAACAATGGGTTATCGAGTCATGGCTATTGTGACACACCTTGAGTTCTAAAGCATCAACCAAACCTTCCCCATTAATCTAGAATTTTTGGGTGTTGGTTGAGTTTAGTGGTTTTGGTTTGCTTCTATAGAAAATCAGAGCCACCATACTATCCAAACTATAATAATCTTTGGTGGATCTTATGAAGTTTAACTTCATTCATGTCATAATTTATATTATAGTCATCTAATACACTATTTTTGGATAGACGCTATAATTTGTTCTTGAAAAGAAATATTTTATTAATAATTGAAATCTGCTATTGATATTTTTTTCTCTCTTAAATTATTGATTTTTTTAAATTATGAACTAATGAGATTTAAAAAGAATAAAAAATATTAAAAAATAAAGAATAGAAAATCAGTAGGATCTGATGGTATTTCAATATAAGTATGAAAATGTTTAGGTGATTTGAAAATTTTTAGCTTACTAAACTTTTTTATATTATTTTAAAAATTTAAAAAGATAGTTGAGGAGTTGAGAAAGAGTATTTTGCTCCCTATTTTTAAGAATAAAGAAGATGCACATGAGTACAAATTATAGAGAAAATAAAAGAAAAAAATATTTTAGCTATTAGTAAAATGCTAAAAAAATGAAGGGTAGAAAATTAGTAGGACATGATGGTATCCCAATATAAATATGGAAATGTTTAGGTGATATGAGAATTTTTTAGCTTATTAAACTTTTTAATATAATTTTAAAAATTAAAAGATGTTTGAGGAGTGGATGAAGTCTATTTTGGTCCCTGTTTTTAAGAATAAAGAGGAAGCATAAGAGTGTGCAAATTATAAAGGAATTAAGTTAAAATGCATTAAAATTATGGGAGAGAGTAATTTAACATCGGTTAAGATGTGATACAAAGATTTCTCAAAATAAGTTTGAATTTATATCGGGCAAGTATACTATGGAAGCTACACATTTTTTGAGATGCTTGATGGAGAACTACAAAGAGAGTTAGAGGATGTACATATGATTTTTATTGATTTAGAAAAAAAATTTATGATAAGGCTCTAAGAGAAGTATTTTGGAGAGTTCTAGAAAAGAAATGTATTGATATGACTTATATTTAAGTCATTAAATATTTGTATATTAGAGTTGTTACTTGTGTTTGAACAGGAGGATTGACCAAGTATTTTCCTATTTCAGTTGGATTACATCAGGAATCGACTTTAAACCCTTATCCTTTTGCTTTAGTTATGGATGCTGTTACCGGACATTTACAAGAGGATGTACCTTAGTGTATGCTTTTCGTTGATGATATTCGTTTTGTGGATAAGACCAGAGAAAGAGTTTATGAAAAACTTGAAGACTGGAGGTCAACTTTAGAGTCGAAAGGTTTTCATTTTAGTAGATCTAAAACTGAATACTTGGAATGAAATTTTAGTAGTAGTAGATCTAGTGGCGGGATTATAACAATGTGTGATCAAATATTAAAAAAAGTGAACGTTTTAGATATCTCGGGTCTATTGTTCAAAGTGATGACGTTATAGATGGGGATATTATTAATAAAATTCAAATTGGATAGTTGAAGTGGAGGAATTCATCGGGCCTATTGTGTGATAGAAAACTACTGCTTAGGTTTAAAGGAAAATTTTATAAGATGGTGGTGTAGAATGTTGTCCTATAAAAGAGAACCATAAATCTGAGTGAAATGTTGTTGAGATTAGTATGCTTTGGTGGACGAGTGACTTTACACTTAAGAGAAAGACGTGAAATGAATATATCCGTGAAAGGGTTGGTGTAGGTTCAGTGGAAGACAAAATTAGAGAGAGTCGTCCTAGATGGTTTGGTCACAATAAATGTTGACCATCTGATAACCCAGTTAGGAGATTATATGTTTTAGATTTGACTTATGTTAGCAAAGGTAGAGGTAGACCTAAAAAAATATAGGCATGTTGTATAAAAAATGATATTTATTTATTAGAATTAAATTTAAGTATGACATTCAATAGAACTCAATGGAGAAAAAGGATTCATGTAGCCGACCCCACTTAGTGAGATAACGACTTATTATTATTGTTGTTATTATGTAAGTAGTGGTACTCCAATTGGAAAGAGAAAGCAACCAAGCAACAATTTTTTATTCAAATCAAGTTTTGCTGTTTTTGTAGAACTTGTGTTCCCTAACTGCTCAGCCCACTTTATTATTAGGAAAATTCCACAACTGTTTTCTAGTTGTAGCTTTGTAAACAAATATGGCCCTACTTTCTTTTCTCTAGATTGTCTTTAAGGTGGCAGCTTTTTCTTTGCATTGGTTTGCCAAATTTGAATGCTGTCCCACCAAATTGAAATTATAACCCTCTTATGTGGTTCTTAGTACAATATCATTTTATTGTAATGATGAAAACTCTAATGTTGCTTTATTTGTCTATATACATACCCTAAATATTTTTGACTAAGGCGCCACCATTGTGTTTTTTTAACCAAGATGATGGAAATATTCCTGTTCCTGTTAGAATCCATTATATGGTTTGCTTATTGCAGCATTTTTTTTAATTCTCTCTAAAAGCTAATTTTTCTTTCCAAAATGCCCTACTTCCATTTCTCCTTTAGCTCCAAGTCTCTATCACCTTCATTATTTTCTTCTTCATCTTCCCTTGTCTATTCATGCTAATCTTTAGCTTTTATCTTCTCCAAATTTTAAAGAGAAAATAGTTCTGAAAAGGGCCTTTGTTGTTGGCCATCAAAAGCCTAAAGATGTTGGAGTTCCTCATGAACGCTATCCATTGTGTTATCGCCTCTAGTGATAAACACAGTTACTTTTCGGTGACTACTCCACACAGTTACTTTTCGGTGACTGCTCTTGGAGGTTGCATGCATTTTTTAATTGACATTCTCCATTTTTTCTACAACAAAGACAGTTGATTGATTGGTGAATACGAT